AAAGGAAAAAAGGAACAACATTGCTTTGTTGGTACATTCCCAAAAGAAAAGCTACAAAGCAGTTACTCACACAGTCATAGTCACAGCAGAGGCATTCACACTAGAAAAGAAGTGAAAGCAATCAAACCACCCTTCAACACAGGAACAAACAAAACAGGAACAAACCGGGCACAGTCATACAGCAGAATAATACCCAGATATAAAAAGAAATGTAATTCTGATACATGCTTCAAAAATGTAAGACATAAAAGGTCACATTTTTTTATGATTCAGTCTATGTGAGGCACTTTTACTACGCAAACTCCTAGAAACAGTACAGCACAACCCTTCAGCACTAGAGGAGGGGGAACAGGAGTTTTTGTTTAATGAATACAGAGGTTCTGTCTCGAGAAGTTTGGAAATATAAGCCAGACATAGTAATCTGATGGGAGATTACCTACTTATAACACTAATCTCCTGTAGCCAAAGAATTTGGGAAACTGAGTTCCAGGCCTGCCTGGGCTATACATAGCAAAACCCCATCTCAAAATAAAAATCTGAGTGCTGGGCCAGGGTATAATGGCATATTATGTAATCCCAAAAAGGAGGCAGAGGTAGAAGGATGACAAGTTCAAGACCACCCTTGTTATATAGTTAGATCCTTCCTCAGACAAAGAAGAAAGGCTGATGTAGTAGGTGACAGAGGACCTGCTCAGTATGTGAGATGCCTGGGTTTCTTGCCCAGGGTTCAATCCACAGCCATCACCAAAACCAAACCAAACAATACCCCTACACACCCCCACACACAATTGTGTGAGGTCTGGGGCTGATTTTTCTACAAGATAGCAGAAGTTTCTTAAAGATCATGTGGCTGGAAAATCTGAAACATTTTGAAGTTTTCTAAGCCCAAGCTTGTCATATTTATCTGGTCCTACCACTGCTATCTTTATCCCACCTCCAAATCACTGTTGTTTCTGCTTGGAAAATCCTCCCACTGTATCTTAGAATCACCTACCACCTAGATCACACCTTACTTTTTTTTTTTTTTTTTTTCTTTCTTTTTCTTTTTTTGGTTTTTTTGGGACAGGGTTTCTCTGTATTGTTTTGGAGGCTGTCCTGGAACTAGCTCTGTAGAAGTGGCTGGCCTCGAACTCAGAGAGATCCACCAGCCTCTGCCTCCTGAGTGTTAGGATTAAACACGTGTGCTACCACTGCCCTGCAATCATACTTTATTCTTAAGTAGTCTTTATTCTTAAGTAGTCTCTTCAGTAGTCTTCCATGGCTACCTTGTAACTCTCTTATCTCATTATGTTTTATTTGACATGTCATTTACTCTGGATTTATTGCAATTCCCTTAGAGCTTAGCCCAGCACCTGACTTACAGGGAGCATTCAGTAAATGATGAACAAACTGATGAACAGTCACTGAATATGTCAGCACTATGAGTACAACACAGAATGGGACTCACAGATAGGACATGCATAGGCCTTACTCTGGTGTGTATGTTACTGTTAGTGGGACATGCAAGAGGAAGTTTCAAAAGAACCTAGAGGTGGGGAAAGAGCCTATGACTGCCTCAGATATCTCGTTTTGACCAGTAGGTGGATGGGACAGAGAAAGTGTGGAAGCCAGGGCAGGGAGTCTGGTTGTCTGTGACTTGAGATACTTCAGTGGCCTGTAGTGAAGGCACTGTTGTAACCAGCTGGTAAAAGATCATAGCACAGATTCAAGAATCCCTCAGACAGAGTACCAAAACAGAGTCCAGAGTAGAGAAGTCCTGCTGCAGGATGCCTGCTAGCAGAACAGAGTCCAGTTCTCCCCTCTACACTGGTGATGAAGAGGCAAGAGGGACCTGTCAAGAGAGAAGACAGGCAGTGGTCCAGGCCTGTATCCACTAGCCCTGCACTCTGGAACAGGGAGGTATAAATCCCAAGGCAGCCTAGGTTACACACTGAAGTCCTGTCTAAAAAGGTGAAAACTGAGCTGGAGAGGGAGTTTAGCAGATAAAGCTGTGTGCCCTGCAAGCCTGAATTCAACTCCCTGGAATCCACATTCAAGGTAGAAGGAGAGGATGGGCCAGGCTTGGCTAGCACACATTCTTCCTTCCTTCCTTTCTTTCTTTTTAAGGTTTTTCTAGACAGGGTATCTCTGTAGCTTTGGAAGGTGTTCTGGGACTCACTCTGCAGACCAGGCAGGCCTCAAACTCACATAGATCCACCTGCCTCTGCCTCCTGTCTCCTGAGTGCTGAGATGAAAGGCGTGTGCCACAGCCACCACCACCCAGCCAGCTGGCATACATCTTTAATCCGAATACTTGAGACGCAGAAACAGGTAGATCTCTATGGGTTCAAGGCTAGTCTGGTCTACATAGTGAATTCCAGAACAGCCAGAGCTACATAGAGAGACCTTGCCTCAAAGAAAGAGACACAGGAGAGAGAGAGAAAGAGAGAGAGAGAGAGAGAGAGAGAGAGAGAGAGAGAGAGAGAGAGAATGAACTCCACAAAGGTGTCCTCTAACCTCCACATGAACACCATGGTATGCACCCATCCCAAACAATAACAAATAAATAATAATTAAAAGAATTATTCCTTTCAAAAAAAAGAAAGGGAGGACAGGAGGACCTGAGCCAATAGGGAAGAAACCTAACCAAGGCATAAGGAAGGGCCAAAAATAAAAAATAAAAAAGACTCCTTGGGCAAAACTTGGAGCAGAGGCAGGCAAGTGGTCTCTTGGAGCTCTAAAAGTCCCATCCCCATGACAACACGAAGTCAGTTAGGGCAGGTCTCGCCAGGCCAACAGTCCCTTAACAAACTCAGCTCTCATGCTGGGCCAGTGGCAGCTCTGGTTCCCTTGAAGTGAATGGCAGCCTTCTGAATGAGAGCTAGGGTGCTTGCAGCACGACAAACCCTTCAGAGTAAACCTCAATCCTATAAGGAAATTCCTGGGGTGCAAAGACACCAAAGAGGGCTAACTGAGGTATTGATGCCCTCGCCTCCACCTGCACCCCCAAGTAAGGACCAGGAAGAAAGGAGGACTTAGGAGTCAGCTATCTTTGCTCTGTCTCCTGAGTCTGGGGCAAGCCAATACACACCTCTCTTCGGCACCCGTAATAATTAATCCTCCTTGCCTCAAGCCTCCGGCACTGGCTTAGCCAGGAACCCAAAGAAGCCCAAACACTTTTCACAGGCTGGCCTACATTCCTCTCCTAACCACAACTCATGAGGCACAGCCTTCAGGCTAGAGCACTTGAAGCCTTAAGAGGCTCGAGCGTGTGCTTTCCTGAACTCCAAAGCCTACACAAAGCATAAGAAAGTCCCTTTGCTGTCCTGTCAGAATGAAGACTGTCGGTGGATCTACCTGACCAACAGGCTGCAAGAACTATCTGTGCTGTTATGTTTGACAAAAAAGCCCTCCGCGGGCCGCCTCGCTGGAGCCCTTCTGCAGGCCCCTCACGACCCATTCTACTCCCGGCAGGGCCAGCTCCGGGCCACAGAGACAGCAGCGGCGGCGCACCCGCCATGCCCCGCCCCGCCGCGCTGCGCCGGGCCTCGCCCCGACTGCTCCGACGTTCCCATACAGGACCGACCCTCACTTACAACCGCAGGCTGTCTCATCTGGAGCCTGGCTAGCTGCTTCCCGGACCCTGCCCAGCCAACTCTGGGGCCCGGCGCTGCTCTAGGCGCCACGGGGGCGGGCCCCGCGCCCATCCTCGCCATGGCAACGCGACACTTCCGGCCCGAGGTGTCCGGAGCGGAAGCCGCGGTGCCGGGTGGGAGTACTGGGCAGAGCCACTCTACAAGGGCGGAGCCTAAAGAGAGCCAGAAACAGGGCCATCCCCGGCAGATGTGTTGGTTCTGTGGAAGGTTTTTTCGTGCTCAAACATCCTGACGTCTTGGGTGGCATGGGAAGGGCAAGTGTTCAGGTGTTCCCGGAAGGGTGATCTCTATCCCGGTCTTTCAAAGAAAGGTTGGGGTCTTTCCTTCAAAGGAGGGAGCAGTGTGTCCCAGAGGATGGACAGCAGTTTGAATGATGGTTGGGCCCTAGGACACTGTGGTCAGTGTGAAGCAGCCAGGATGGGGACTCCTTAATGTCAGACCAAGGAGCCAGGCTTTAGCCTGAAAGCAAGGATCAGTGGAAAGGGGAAACCTCAGACTTACAGGAGGGAATTGATTTCTTTGCTGAGGTAGGGTGGAGGCCAGAGGTATTTGCGTGATGAGACACAGGAACCCTCAGCTAGAGTCCTGAATAGAAAGCAGAGGGGTAGGAGGTGATAGGATTCCAGGGGAAGGCAGATGAGGGCTGAAAGAAGAGTCTGGGATAAGATCACAATCCAACCACGGGTAGGACAGTTAGAGAAGTGAAATGCCACTGCATTTATCCTCCATGTGTGCCCCACACCACCCCCACCCTGCTCCCTCCTGCACTTATGACTGTGCCTTCCTTGGTACCACCAGCAAGGGTATAATGGGGAGGGGCTGCACAGGAAAAGGTGAATTCCCAAAGTGTTTAGTGTTGATGTAGATCTGGGACCACTGACCCTGGTACCAACCTCTGCTGTCAGTGCCATGATTCAGACCCTCATTGCAAACCTGCTCAGTGTAGTAGCCAGGAGAACTTGGTTAACAAATACAACATAGATGGTGACTGAGCCCAAGGGCCAACAGTTAGATGGCCAAGAAAGAGGTAGGAGCTCACATGGGCTCCTGTAACATACTCCTGGAAAAATCACTTAATCTCTGTCCTCCCCTTATTTATGGGGGATAGGCTTTATGCCTTTTTTGGTCCGGGAAGTCATCCCTCTGCCCATCTGCCCCACCTCCCCAGTCAAGACCTGGATTTCAGACCCCCTATCTAGGGCATGACTTCTTTTGACTAGTTTGTCTTGAACTCCTGGAAATTTCCTATCCCTCGCCAGAGTTATTTGGCTGGAGAAGTCAATTCCTATCTACTAAATGAGATCTAGGGATCTGACCCAGGCAGATAAGGTATCCTGGGGTAGTCCTTTTCAAGGGTTTTTCCTTCCCGGTTATAGGGGATGCTCAGGCACCCAAAGGCAACCTGGAAGTGGAGACTGATTTCAAGAGGTCACCAAAAGTCCCTACTGGAATCTTTTCTGCCCTTCCCTCCAAGATTAACTGAACCCTGCTAATTGTGGCAGCCCTCACATGTTCCCCTCCCCCACAGCCTCTTCCTCTCACCCCTCCCCCTTCCATCAGAATGATAAAGAAAGGGATTGGCCTGCCAGTCCCAGCATGGCCTCTGGCTGGGACCCAACCTCAACTCTTAGTCCATTTGCCTTGAGCCCCCCGTTAGGCCAGACCCCAGCCCAGGGCTGTTTCCCTTGCATGGGGCCTTGCAACAACTCTCATCTGAGGCCTTCAAAGGCAGAGTCTCCCCCCAAGAGGAGGAAGAAGAGATATCTGCGGCATGACAAGCCCCCCTACACCTACTTGGCCATGATCGCCTTGGTAATTCAGGCCGCACCCTTCCGCAGGCTGAAGCTGGCGCAGGTGAGAGGGTCCCTGGTGCTTGTGGGTCATAGCTGTCCCAGGCTCGCTCCCCACTTACTGTAGGCTCAGGCTCGCTCAACCTCTACCTAGTCCACTTATCTTTGCCATCAAGACCAGTCCTGAGAGCTCAGGGACTCTTTTCAAGATCCTTATTCCACAACCCCCACTGAACCTGCCCTCAGGCACAGAGACCTGAGAAGGGGTGCCTTGGTGCCGGCTGTGAGAGAGGGAGAAAGCACTGCTCCTATCCCTGTCTCACCTCACCAAACACTGCCTGATTTCAGATCATCCGTCAGGTCCAGGCAGTGTTTCCCTTCTTCAGGGATGACTACGAAGGCTGGAAGGACTCCATCCGCCACAACCTTTCCTCTAACCGGTGCTTCCGGAAGGTAGGGTGCTCTATGGTCAGACTCTGGGGGTGGTATGGGCACGAAAACCCTGAACCTCTGGGTGGGATAGCCACATTCAAACCAATCACTCTCTAGGTGCCCAGGGACCCTACAAAGCCCCAGGCCAAGGGCAACTTCTGGGCGGTGGATGTGAGCCTGATCCCAGCAGAGGCGCTGCGCCTTCAGAATACTGCCCTGTGCCGGCGATGGCAGACCCGGGGCACACACAGAACTTTCGTCAAGGACCTGAGCCCCTACGTACTCCATGGCCGGCCTTATCGGCCGCTCATTCCCTCCCTCATTCCCTCACCACCATCCAGGGAGGGTTTCAGCATCAAGTCCCTGCTAGAGGACCCTGGGAAAGGACCAACACTGCCCCAGCAGCCTTCGCTAGTTGAACAGAGCAGCTCAGCTCAGGCACGCACCTGGTCCAAGGGGGAGGAAGGGGTGTGTACTGTACCCTCTAACTCCTCTGAGAAGCCTCTGTGGCCCCTCTGCTCCCTTCCTGGACCCACAAGAATAGAGGGGGAGACTTCCCAAGGGGAGGTCATCAGGCCTTCTCTTTCCCCAGAGCAAGGAACCTGGCCCATCCACTTACTTCAGGGATCCCCAGATCCCATGGGAATGACCAACAGCAGATGCAGAGCTTCCTTGTGGGGTCAGCTACCCACCTCTTACTTGCCCATCTACACTCCCAATGTAGTAATGCCCTTGGCCACACTACCTCCCACCTCTTGTCCCCAGTGCCCATCTTCAACCAGTCCAACCTACTGGAGTGTAGGTACTGAATCCCAAGGGTCCCAAGACCTGCTCTGTGATCTAGATTCCCTCTTCCAGGGAGTACCACCCAACAAGAGCATCTATGATGTGTGGGTCAGCCACCCTTGGGATCTGGCGGCTCCTGCCCCAGGCTGGCTGCTCTCTTGGTACAGCCTGTAATAGTTAAAGGCAGGCAGAGGCTGCTTTTCCCTTCCATCCCTGGATACCATTTTGAAGGAGAACCAGAGCTAGGAGCATGATCATGCAACAGCTTTAAAACATTAGGCACAGCCTTGCTAAAAGCCCACTTTAATTGGGTTACTCCAGAAAGGTTTTTTTTGTTTTGTTTTGTTTTTTTGCCTCTGCTAGATAAAGCAGGTCTGGCCAGTCCTGCCTTTGACTCTCCCACATACAGAGAGCATGTCTGGAGAAACATGCTCAGCCTAGAGTAGTGCTTTTCTTGATCCCACCTTCTCAAGCCTTCATGCCATCCATCTATCCACCCCTCTGTCACCACGCCTTCCTGGCTCCAGACTGGGGGAGGGAGAGCCAAAAGGGGTCCAATCCAGTCTTGCCCCCACCCCTCAGCTGCCTGGGTAGGAGGTAGCACCTTTGGGGAAAGGGATTAGGAATTGAAAGACTGGACCCTACATGATTTGGGGGTGATAGAAGGACTGGGAAGAGATTAACAGTAAAGGAATTTACAACACTTTAATTCCAAGTCTGATATTGGGGCAGGGAAACAAACAACTTAGTCCGGGGCCTGGTTCCTGCAGCTCTAGACCCCCTGCTGTGTCCTGTGATAAGGGCAAATGGTGATAAGGTGAGAGCGAAGGGCCTGTTGGGGGTGGAGGGATGAGGCAAACATTTCTTGAGCACAACATTCTCTGGCCAGATCAAGAAGGGAAGGGGGAAATTGTGGGACTCTGGGGGGCAGCTAGGGCCTGAGTTTAAAAAAAAAAAAAGTTGGCTTGGGAAGTGGGGTATAGGAACATCACTGTTGCCTCTGCCAGCAGAGGCATATTCTCAAGCCTAGTCCTAAGGGCTTTGACCCAGATCTAAGGAGGCAGGTCCCCTGGAGGCTCAAGAGTCAAGCCAGAATAGCTGTTGGGGCCGGGACTTGGAGGGCTGCCAGGAGATGGTGTAGGGGTGCAGGAAGTCCCAGTGAGTGGGGTGTCGGTACTGAGAGAAGAAGTTCCAGAGCGTGGGGCCCTACGTCTCCGGGCTGGCCCCAGTTCTACTTGACCCACTCGCTCGGCGAACTTGAGCGAGCAGATGGTCTCCCCAAGATCTTCGGTCCTCATGGAGATCTACAAGAGAGGACACTTTTACACAGTCGTGGTGGGTGAGCAGTCCTTCAGGCTTGCCTCAGCCCAGAGACCCACCTGTAGCAGCAGCACTGCTGTGGTGCCAGCGCCAAGCGCCGGCTGTAGGAGGCGTGTAAGCTGTGAATCTCGGAAAGGTACATGCTGCCGCCGAGCTCTGAGCGCGGCCATCACTCCTCCTAGTGCCAGCAAAGAGCGGTTGATTGACTGGGCCTCCCGCAGACGCCGGGCGCCATTGGGATCTCTCGGCAGGGTGCTGGCCACCCCTGCTTTCCACACGCGCTCGGATCCTGCCAGGTCGACCAGGTGCAGTGTGCCTGCAGGTGCAAATGAAACCAATGTGGAGGGAGACCTCTAGTGAGCTGGAAACCCAGCAGGACTTGAGCAGTCGATGGTACCTGTGATACCCTGGGCACGAGATGAAGATGCCGCACGCAAAGTCAGTGTAACTAGGGCGTGGGAGCGTGAGCTGTGCTGGTTCATGACAGTGGCTGCTGTAGCTCTGTTGCTCCTCCCCAGACTCAGCATCTATATATATGTATATACGTTATATGTATATAATTATATAACAGATATATATATGTGTGTGTATATATATATACATATACATACATACATACATATATAGGCCCTGCCCCCAGACGGGGCCTTGAAGGCCTTACCTGGTGCAGGGTTTCCAGGTTAGGTACATCCCAGTGCGTGAGGCCAGTCACTTGAATTCCCCCCTGCCCTGCAGGTCCCTGCCTCACAACCAGGCGTTCTGGACGCCCTGTAGCTAGGAGGTCCCTGGTAAGAAAGAGTGGGTTTGTTCTATGGGTTCTAAAGGTGGCTGTAGAACCCTTGAGCAAGGAAAAAGCCACCCACACATCCCTGACCTGACTGCCTCGTTGTAGATCTCCACCATGCTGAGGGTCACATGGTGGTGCCCTCCAGTCCCCATCTCCTGGAACAGCAACTGCAGTGCCCTAGGAGCTATGCCAGGGTCCTCAGGTGGGCCCTGAGGACAGTATGCAGTGCCACATTGGACTCTCATACAAACCTCTGAGTCTCCCCACCTCCCACCCCCAAGTGTGAACTCCAACCTACCTCCATACTGTAGGTTTTCCCAGTCCCAGTCTGACCATAAGTGAAGATACAGACACTGTATCCCTGGAGGCAAGACAATACAGCTGGCTCTAGCTGCCTGAAGACCTAGGGACAAAAAAACAATGGGAGAAGTGTCCTCAGCCCTTCTCTGTTTCCCTATTTGAGACCTGCAGTTAACAAGATGTGGGCAAATTGTAACTAACTCCCCTGGGAAGTGGTTCCCCCTCCTTATAGCAGGTATGCGAAGAATTGGTGGGGTGGGGCCTAACAAAAAACAGCAGTTTGGGAGACCCGAGAATGTAGAGTCCTAGAGACCATTTAAGTGGTCCTCCTGGGGGCAGTGGTCAGGAGCTTCGATGCCAGGGCTTGACTTCCAGGTTAAAACCTGAGGTGACAAGAAGCAAGACACTTAACTAACCAACCTTTCTATGCTTTTCTGGGTCATTCCTCTCTATGGCAACTAATGGGAATGTGTGCTGGAGAACCTGAGTAATACTTGAAAAGAAGAATACATCTAAACATGGGATGGTGGCCCATGCCTTTAATCCAAGCACTTGGGAGGCAGAGGCAGGTGGATCTCTGTGAGATCGAGGCCAGCCTGGTCTACAGAGCAAGTTCCAGGACAGCCTGTCTCAAAAAAAAAAAAAAAAAAAAAAAAAAAAAAAGGCAGGAGCTGAAAGGTGGTGGTACCTGCCTTTAATTCCAACACTCAGAAGACAGAGGTGAGTTCAAGGCCAGCCTGGTCTATATCAAGGGCAGCATTTAAAGCTACAGAGAAACCCTGTCTCAAAAAAACAAAAGCAGAGGCAGGCAGATCTCTTAAGTTTGAGGGCAGCTAGTTCCAGGCCAGCCAGAGATACACAGTGAGACCCTATCTAAAAATTAACAACAAAAAATAGTCTGATCTACAAAGCAAGTTCTAGGACAGCTAGGGTAACAGAAAAACCCTATCTCAGAAAAACAAAAAATCCAAGAGGGCCTCTATGAGTATAGAGTTCGCTACCAGGCAAGACTAGGAACTCAGGCTCTCAGAAACATCTGAGGGTCATAATGTTGGACAGATATACAGATATGTCGTGGATACAATTAATAGTTTCTTGAGTACCTAGATGGCCAACTTTCATATCAGAAGGTCCCTAGAAAATGAGTGGCTGTCATTTCTGATTCATGTCTTGATGGATGATCATATAAACAAAGTCTAAAATTGCCAGAATGAAGATGAAAAGTTCAGGACTGGGTTGTACAAAAATGAGGTATACTGGCAAGGAACTCCATGAGAGATACCTTTGGTCCAGTTTGTTAGATTGAGGACCGGGTCCAGACTGCCTAAAGTATAGTAGAGAAGTGAGGGGAGCTGTGTATGGCTGTAGTTTGGGGTGGGAGATGAGGCCAGAGCCACGTATAAGGCAGAGAGCTGGGAAGTCAATCGGGTGACTATTCCTGCTAGCAACTACATTATACAGTTTCTGAGACCAGCAGGTAGCCTGGATCTTCTTTGCCAGCTCTGGTCCCTTACCTAATCCCTCCTCGACTCTGAGCCTCTACCCAGCCACAAAGAACCCAGCAGCACAGTTTATGTGCAAATGGAAACATTCGTGAAGAGTTGGGGTAGACTGCTTTTCCACTGGTGTCCAGAGAAGAGTAGTATAGTTCGGAGCAGGCATTAGGGGAGCCCTAGGGCTGGCAGCTGCCCTGCTTACTGATCAGCTATGCGTTCACCTAACACAAAGCAAGTAGAGGTTTTGCCTTCACTGATGGGCAGGGCCTGGATCATAAGAAGGCTATGTCAGTGAAGCCTGGGTGGGAAAGACTCCAAGCCATCACCATAGGATCATTGCCTTGTCTTCACCACTGTGGCATCCATCCATGTTCTGCAGCCAGTTCTACACAAACAGAAACTCATCTTGGATGGGTTAATTTTCCTTAGCACTTGGCCGGGCAGCCACTCCTGCCTCCATGGACTTTAAGTGGCTCCCTTCCCTGACAGCCCAGCCTCCACCTTCTGGGTACTCAGACAGTCATAGAAGAAGGAATGAGCCTCTTCTGGACAGAGGGGACTCTGAGGAAGGGTCAAGACAGATGCAAAGTTGGCTGTCACCTCCTCCTGGCTGGCATCTGGAGGAAAGACCCAGTCCAGGCGAAAGCTGTGCTGGCGCCCTCGGTAGCTGGTGGTGATGGTCCCTCCTTGTCCTGGCTCCAAGCTTACCAGGCTGGAAGGTATCCCTTCAGTTGGTCTCAGCCGACATAGCACACGGATATTTCCTGCATTGGGGACCACATCAGCAGTTTGTCCCCTTAGCTCTGAAACATAGAGAGCTCTTCTTCCATCCTACAGTCACTGCTGCTTCACTCCCAATGCCAATCTTACATACCCTTGAGTTCCAAAAGCCTCCCTGAGCATCCAGTTGGGGTTCCTTGCTGCCCCTTTGAGAGCTGAGTCTTAGCCCCTCCAGCTGACAGAGCCCCAAGGGCCCAGGATACCTGTGAGGAAAACAAAGAGGTGCCCAGACAACTCCAAGTGAAGTTGGGTGCTGAGAGCAATGTGACCATTTGTGGTGGCATACAACTTCCAGTGGGTATGGACCCCTGAAGGCGTCATTCAGTGAGTCTGAGATAGAATCTAGGAAGCATAGGCAAAAATATTCATTGTATCATCTGTCCTTCTGGGCTTGCAATTGCCAGTTTTCACAGCACAGAAATGAGGGCACAGCTAGGCAGTGGTGGCACATACCATTTATCCCAACACTCAGGAGGCAGAGGCAGGTGGATCTCTGAGATCAAGTCCAGCCTGGTCTACAGAGTGAGTTCCAGGATAGGCAGGGCTATACAGAGAAACCCTGTCTTGAAACCACTACCCCCCCCACTCCCCAAAAAGGAAATAAAGAAATGAGGACACTTTTAGGTTGTTCAGAAATTATTCTAATCCAAATGCCTACAAATGACCCACTGGTACAAGCAGCTCCTGAGGGATAGAATGGGGGAAACAATAAGAGGCTCCTCTAGGAAAAACAGTGAACAAAACAGGCTGCTCATAGAGAAGGTATGAGGAAGGGAGAGGTCCTGACCTGGCCCTGGGCCTCACTTAGTGAGCCCTGACAACTCTGGGTAAAGGTGCTGACCAGTCCTCGGAGGTCCCCACAGCCCTGACGAAGGCTGGCCATCCGAGCCCGAAGTCCTAGAGGAGGAAAGCCATTGAGAGGAAAAGAACAGATTCCAGAGCTTTCCCAGAAACTACTTTCTCCTAGCCCTTACCTGCCAGCTGTCCATGAACTTGCTGCAGCTCCTGTCTGCAGTTCTGTTCTGTCTCCTGCTGGAGCTGCTGGAGGGCCCCTCGAAGGCCCTGCAGCTGCATCTCCTGCACCCCCAGCTGTCCCTCCCAACCCCACTTCTGTCACTGAGGAAACAGGCACCAGGCCCTGCCCCAGACTTCACCTCCCAGCATCACAACCCTGCTTATCCCTAGGTCCCCTAGCCCACCTGGACTCGAAGGGCTTCTGTGGTGTCTTGGGCCTCTTGAAGCTGGCCCTGCAGCTCCAACAGAGCCCCTGCTTCCTCCTATAGGAGAGTAGGAGCCAGATGGGTCATAGAGCCAAATGGAAACTCAGGAAAGGATATCTTATAGTTCCATTTCACAGATAGAAAGGCCAAATCAAGAGTGGCAAGAATGCCTAAACCCATGGTACCCAACTCCATGCATGGAGGCCTGTCCCCATCTCTCTGTTCCCCTAAGCTTCCTCAAAGAGACAAAAAATGGAGTGGGAGGGGGTCTTGTCTCCTATGACCATCAAAGCCTCACTGATGTGGCCACCCTACAAAGACTGTCCCCAAGTTTCTCCATAGTTTGAGATGGTCCCCTACTAAAGCAAACACAAAGTCCTAAGGCAGCTTAAGCACTGTTGCTGGAAAACAAACATATAAGAGCCTGAACTGCAGATACCACAGCAGCCAAATAGCAGAATACCTGTGGAGCTCTGGCAAGGGGGCCAGGGGCCCAGTGCAGCAGGAGGTCCTGAGTAAGGCTCAAGCTCTGTTTCAGGACTTCATTCTCCAGTGTGAGATGCTGAACTCTTTTCTCTGAATCTGTCACCCCCTAACAGAGAGGGATGCCATCAGAGTTCTCTGAAGTTCCCCTGACTTTCCAGTCTTTTCCCTGTGCTCACCCCAATAGCCTCACCACTCCCAGGCGCAGTCTACTCAGCTCTTCTTCCTGCTGCTCCAGCTGCTGTCTCACCTCTTCCAGCTGTGGAGAAATCAGGGACAGGATGGCATTCCTGTTTGGGTCTCATACCAGCACAGTCCCTGCTGCTCCTGATTTGCTTACCTGTCCAAGAATAAGCTGTTCCAGCCGCTGCCAAGCTCTCTGTTCCTCCTCCAACTGGGGAGGCTGATGTTCCTGGGTCTCATCTCCTGGTACCTCATCCAGGCTGGAAGTGGGTTGAGAGGAGATTTCTTCTTGTGACAGAGACCCTAAAGAGTAAGGAAATGTCTAGCCTAGAGAGAGCAGAGCCCATTCTGATAGACCCTGCTCCCTCCACAAACAGTAGTACCCTTTACAAACCATCTAGATTAGAGGGCTGCACTGGGTAGACTGGCTGTGTCCCCTGGAGTAGGACCTGCCTCCCCCTGGGGCTCCGTGTCCATGCCAGAAGGGCCAAGAGCTGACTTGTTACTGTCAACAGTGGGGGGACCTCACCAGGCTGGGAAGGAAACAATCAGAGCAAAGGAGTTGGGGACATGTGGAGCACGGAGGCTGGGGAAAGGAGTAATTGCTGGAAATCATGTGCTCACCTTGCCTGGGTCAAAAGGAGTACTACAGCTCTCTTCTGCCCCCAAATGGACAGAGAGGAACTCAGCAAGGCGCATAAGTGCCTCTTCCAGAGACACCTCAGGCGCTCCACCCTCAGCTCCTTTCCGACCATCCTCAGATTCTGAGCAGCCTTCGAGTGGAAGGAAGAGACTAGTAGGAGACTAGGCCTTTGTCCCTCCCAGTGAGGGCACAGCACTCCAACTGCAGGGCTCCCTCGAGACCCTTCCCCCAGCAGCTCCTCGGCATGCACCTACCGGCCAGGCTGTTCAACTCGGTCCACAGCTCTGATGTGAACTGATCCGGGCGGCGACGACCCCTAGATTTGCCAACCCTTCTCTGGGAAGAGAGTATGGGATGCCTGTGAGGGTGCTGGCAGCATGTAGGGCTCTTTCCCTTCTGATACGGGCCAAGGGGTTGGGGCTAAGGTTTATGACCCCAACACATAGCCAGAAACAAAGCTGGTCTCGAAACAGCCCTATTTCCCAGAACCAGCGCCTGAGGACATAAGCTGCACAGGCCAGCCACGACCGCATTTCGGTGATGGTGGTAACCAACCGGGATGCAGGCCCACTCCGCTCACCTGGGTAGGGTCGTCGGGGTCTGCGGCCGCCGCAGCCCCGCCATCCCTACGAAAAAGACTGTAGAAGATGTAAATGAGCAGAGAGTAAAAGGCGTACATGGGGGCGCGGGGCGGCAGAGAGCACCGCTTCGCGCCGCCCCGCGTCCCCGCACCAGAACTCCGCACTCGCCCGCTGCAGTGCCCATGCGCATGCTCGCGGCGGCCGCCCCCACGGACGATCTTACTTGGGCGGAGGACGCACACTGAGGGGCGACTACAGGGAGCCGCAAAACCTGTCCTTAAGGCCCTGTCAAGCGTTTTCCAGTACCTATTTCGCAAATAGTGGGCTCAAAGAGCTCCAATGGCTGTCTAGCCTCTTTTGGAAATCTTGGCCCGCACTGCGCGGAGACGCCCCCCCCCCCGCCAAGGTACGCGCACTCAGCAGCCTTCAGTGCACAGGTGTACAACCTGTCCTCCCTTGTAGCCCAGCCCAGACCCCACCCCTCCCTCCGCCCCGAGACCGACCCAGTCCCGCCCACACCGCCCCTTCGATCACCACCTCGCCCCTCCCACAGCCAAGCAATACTCCTTCGAAGAGGCATCCGTCTCACAGCTCCGCCACTTCTCTCAGTTACAAGCCTACTCCTCGGAAGCCCCGCCTACATCCCCGCCTCGGAGCCTGGACCCTTCACATTCACAATCCCATTGCACGAGTAAACCTGTGCAGAAGCTGGCGCGCACACCTTTAAACCCAGTACTCCAGAGGCAGAGGCAGGCGGATCTCTGTGAGTTTAAAGCCAGCCTGATCTATACAGCAAGTTCCAGGACGGCTAGGGCTACATAGAAAAATCCTATCTAAAACACAAACTTGTACTGAACATCTTCTGGTCGGGACCTCCAACCTCCCAGCCCCACCCCTCCAGAGCCGGCCTCTGCCTTCTGCAGGCCCCGCCCCGCCGCTCTAGCCTGCGCTCCTCTCGTTGGTGGAGGTAAGCTGTCTGCTCTGGGCAGCGCCACCGGAGGGCGGGCTAAGAGGCGGGGCTGACTGTAGTGGGCTGGTTCGGGCCTTCAGCTCTGCGTCTCCAGGTTCTGGCAGTCTCAGGCTGGCCTGCGCAGTTGCTCATTTCCTACCAGGCGGTGGAAGACCATTTCTCTCCAAGTGCTAGGACTCGGCCCAGGCCACAGCAAGGAACTGTACATCTTGTCGTTCTGAGTACTCGCTTGAGCGCCAAGATTCCAATCCCATTCTCCTTCTCACTAAATTAGTCTTTCTTCCCTGTAGATGAGTCTAGTGACCGCAGAGCTCCAAAAAGTTTGGGACTGAATCTATTCTAATGTCTACTCAAAGGTCTCTGGAACTTGAGATACCTAAAGAACTGCACTAAGGACTCCAAGTCGCCATCCTCTGTGCTTTCTTCTCTCCAAACTCCTCAAACTCATTACTGTTCAAGGTGCCATGGTCTCCAAATCCAGGAGTGAATGGAGTACCATCCTGTCCCACCTGGTGCTGGCAGCAGTGTCTCTGCACGCAGCGGTGACCTCTGCACAGGTAGGTGAATATTATTACTTTCACAAACTATGTAGATCCCTGAACTAGAAAGAGGGTGGTGGGAGGAATGTATAAGCTGGGTCTCCTTGACAATCTCAGATTCTTCCTTTTTAAAAGGGTGATTCCTGACTCCTTAACATGTCTGTTTTCCCTGTGTCAACAGTCCAGTCGAGGAGCTGCTGCTGGCTTCCTGCTCCAGACCTTTGCTGCCATCACTATGTTGGTTCCGGGGCTGAACACACATGAAGACTGTCTTGCTGGAGCTTGGGTTGCCACAGTCATTGGTCTGCCTCTTCTGGCCTTCGATTTTCACTGGGTGAATGGGGACCGCTCTTCTGCCAACCTGCTTCTGGGAGGAGGCATGGTGTTGGCAGTGGCTGGTGACCATCTTGGCCCTGAAGGGTGCTCTGTGGCTGGGCAGGCTGTGCTGCTGGTGGTGTCAGTGACCATCCTTATTGTAGCTGTTTTCACAGCCAACACTTATGGAATTTGGGGAGGTGCCATGCTGGGTGTGGCGGGTCTCCTGAGCCGTCTGGAAGAGGACAGGCTGCTGTTACTGCCAAAGGAGGATGTCTGTCGTTGGGCCCTGACTGCAGGCAGTTGGGCCTATTGTCGGGCTCTGCACACACAACGCCTGCAGTGGGAGTGATGGTGGAACTTGACACAGCAAGGCAGGGCTTCTGTTCCAGGTACTACTTTCCTTCCTCTGGCCTACATCTGGAGCCTCTCTCTTAGGGATAGGCTTTTTTTTCTCTTGAAGTGAGCCTGCTGTAGATGCACTAATTGGGGGCAGAGCTTGGGTGCTATCCCTTCTCTGGTCATGCATGTGTGGAAGCTTGCCCAAACCAGAATACAACAGGTCTTCAGCACACTTGGGGCCTGATTCTGGGAGGAGCATGGTTGTAAGTCAGAGGCCAGATTTCCAATAAAATTTAGGAATATACAGGAATGTGGAATCTGCTTATTCTTGAGCTAGCTTCCTTAGGTCTCCAGGGTATCAGCTGACATCCCTCAGGAAAGAAGGGGTGATGTGCTTTAACTAGTAGAAGGGTTTATTCATCTTGGCATTCTGGCAGATTTGCCAAGAGAACCACAGTGTGCTGGGCATGGTGGTGCAGGTCTTTAATCCCAGTTGGGAGGCAGAAACAAATGGATCTGTGTTTTGGGTTTGGCTGGATTACAAAGGTTGAGTTCTAGAGTGGTCAGTGCTACATATAGTAAGATCTTATATCAAAAAAAGAAAAAAGAAAAGAAAAAACAAAAACAAACAAACAAACAAAAATTCCATGCTTGAGAGACATAGTTTTGGCATCTTGGTTTCCTGGGACATAGTAAATTTGAATATATCCTTGGTGGACCTGGCAGGTGGCCCTCTGGGGCAGTGACCTTCACAAGCTGATGGCTGAGTTAGTAAAAGACAGAAGCGATTCCCAGGAACTGCACATCCCTTCTGTGTTTTGCTTACTACCTGTTTGACACCCTTTTGCTGTACAAGCCACGTCTTTTAACTTAAGATTCCCACTTTCTTCTATGGACCCTTTTTCAGTCTCCCATCCTTCGCTCTTTCTGTACTTGACATCTTGTCGACATTTATCTCGTGGCGCCAGGTCGTGGTCTGAGTTTTTTAAATTCGTGCCCTTCCACTCTAGTCAGCTAGGCCTGAGCCTGGCGCACGTAAGCCCGAATTTCTGTGAACAATGGCACTGGCACACCCCGACATGGGGTCTAGTGGCGCTTTGCACTCGCGAAGTCCAAGCCTGGATGTTTTTTCAGACCCCAGAGTTGGTAGTACCTCTCCAGGAACGCACCCCCCTCCCCCTGTACCTAACACTCCTCCCCTCCCCCCTCCCGCCGCCGCCCTCGCTCCCCTCCAGCCTCTTGGGCCCCACCCCCTTCTGTTCACCTTCTACAGTGGGTGGGCCCTTCGACATTCTCGCTCTTCCATTGGCGGTGGCCACAGCATCGTCTAGACCCTTGCGGTGCTACCATTGGCTCGCGCAGAGCACACGTGACTGGGAGGACGAGGGGGCGGTGGCGTGGGGGGGGGTCCGCAGCGAAAACAAAGATGGCGGCCGCGCCGGGGTTGGTGTCCGGGGCCGCTGCGGGCCAACGCGCGGGCCAGGCCCACTGAGGCAGCAGCGCGGTGGGCAGGTTGCAGGGCCGCCGCGGCAGCGAGGAGCCAACAGGGGCGCGCGGCGACCCTAACTTCCAGCCGGCGAACGCGCCGGCACCCGCCCGCCGGGCCGGCCGGCCGCGATGTCCGGCGCCGAGGAGGCCGGCGGGGGTGGCCCGGCTGCGGGGCCCGCGGGTGCCGTGCCGGCCGGGGTCGGGGTAGGGGCCGGGCCTGGGGCTGTCGCGGGTCCGGCTGCGGCGGCTCTAGGCGAGGCGGCGGGTCCCGGGCTCCCGGACGAGGCGGGCCTGGCTGGCGCTCGGCAGCTGCAAGAGGCGGCCGGCGACCCTGACGCGCCGCCCAAGAAGCGGCTGCGGGCGGCCGAAGCGGCCGAGGCGGCGGCGGCGGCGGTGGCAGCGGGCAGCGGGAAGCTGGAGGAGCGGCTGTACTCGGTGCTGTGCTGCACCGTGTGCCTGGACCTGCCCAAGGCTTCCGTGTACCAGGTAGGGCCGCCGGCCCGGCCCGGCGCCGCGTCGCTGGAGGCCGGGGTCCGGTGGCCGGGAACCCTTTCCTGTCCAAACATCCACCTTCCAGGGCCGCGAGGCTCCTTGTCTTTTCTTGCTCTGAATCTCATTTTCCGTGTTCTACGGTACCCTTTACTTCCCCGTCTGAATTTCTTTCCCCCTCCTTAGATCTCTTGTCTGCACCTTCTGGATCCTCCATGGTGCCGTCCTTGACATACTCCAGATCCTTTTCAGCTCACCTCACAGAGATCTGTGAACAGGTGCCCACCCACCCTTCCTACTGCTCATTAACACTGCCCCACAGATTTTTTATCTGGAGATAGGACTTCAATTCTGTCAGCCACACCCCTCCCCAAGAGTGTCCCACCATGCCTGAACAACTCTTTCTCTGCCTGTGAAGCCCTGTTTCCTTCTGAAGAACTAGAAGAAGAAGGAAGGGCCTTTCATCCTTTCCTGATCCTAATCTGGGTGAAGCCACCTGCTTTTTGGGTTCTCCTGCCCCAGCCTGGCCAGTTTTCTACTCAGGTCCATCTTACCCATGCCAAAGTTGTCAGTGTATAAGAACTTTGTCCTAACTCTTCCCATCTTAAGACCCAGTGTGCCAGTAGGACTCAGGGTGCTTGTCTGTGTGGGCCTAACATTACCATCACCTACATAAAAGAGAACACACCTCTGGTTCAATGGGAAAGGCCTGTCTACCTTCCCCTGGTCTCTTTCCACCTCAGTTCCTGGCCTCTGACAGCTTTCTTTGTACTTACAGTAGCTGAAAGTGACTGTAAGGCCTGTTTCCCTGCTCTTCTTTAGACTGAGAGACCTGGCTGAGGGCCAGTATAGGTCTAGTCTGTGAAGTGTTTTCCCACCCTTTGGATCTCTATTTTCTTGCCTTGGCCTGAGGTTGTTGGTATGTGGAGGGATTCCAATGACCTGGATGGGACACTCACCCTCTTAGGTTTTATGTTGGGGCCAACTGGGGTTACATTTCCTACAGCTGCTAGCTCTAGCACCAGTATTTGCCTCTCATTTTAGGCGCCATCAGAACCTGCTTACAACCTTTATTCTTGTCTTGGCTTCTTGATCCTTCTTAGTGGAAGAGTTCTTACTTTCCTAGGATTGAGTGAGAGTCCCACAGGCCAAGCCAATGGAAAGGGGTCCCAAAGAATTCAGGGATTTCTTGGTTGTTTCTGGCATGGTGGTAGGCCACATGATACTGACTACTAGTCTACACAGAGAGCCATAGTGTGCTTCTTCCCAGAATGACTAGTGAGACTAGCTGATTTAAACCAGCCCTAAACACTGTGTTAGGAATTGTTCTGGCTTGGGCAGGCTGGAGTCAGGCCACCAAAGAAGTGTAATAAGAGTGATGTGAGTGGAGGGGCTGCCTTCCCAGTTACTATCCCAGGCTGAAGGTAGCCAGGGTGTTCCTGGAGCACACTTAGTGACTCAGAGGAACTATGGGCATTGACATTGCTCTCTAGGCTCTGGCACTAGCCCTCTTCCCATCTTTCTGTGTAGGTAAATACCTAGAGCAAAGATGTTTCCCTGTTACTTGCAAAGACTGGAAGAATTTTCTAGAATATGTAATTTTGAAAGTGCCCTTGGGCAAATGTTGGAACTTTGCCTGTGCACAGATAATATGTAAAATGGGAGTGCAGCAAGAGGAAGGAAGGAAGTTTCCTACTATTTTAGTATGCTGTTAGAAGCGCAGTACATCTCCCGGGGTCCTGTTGTTGTCCCTGCCAAGGTGCCAGACAGGCCTCTTCACAGTTCTTGTCTAGTCTGGGCACAGATCTGAGCACACATATCAGTATTCCTGGCCAGGATCCATTGCTGGTCAGCACCTCTGCCTGAGCTTAGCTATCTTCTGCTAGCCTTCTTGTCTAACTAACACATGTTGATAGGCTGTCCCTTTAGATGAGTTTTCACCTTCAGCTTTTGCTGGCACCATTTGCCTGGCCTCAGCAGTACACATGGCTCCAGGTGGCCCCAGCCATGCTTTGCATTCTGGGAGCTGACTCAGATGCTCTGCTGCGGGAAAGAAGTGGGTAACCATGCTATAGCTGGCATTGAGTGTGGGGAAAACTCCATGGGCTGCTGGAGTTGGCTGGCTGGGTGTGTGGTATCTTGAGAGTGTATCGTCCATATGCCACCTGGGCTGCCAGGGAAGCACTGGGAAGTGGACAGGAACAGCTTCAGGCCATATGTGGGCTCATCCACCTGGCCTGAGAGACCCTTTGGACCTGCAGGGCCAATTCCCATGGGCCATACTCATACACTGACATATCACAGACTAGGAGATTTGCTCAGGTTGTCTGACCAAGGCCATCAACCAAGTAGCTCTTGTCCCTGGGGCCTGTGTCAAGTGCTGCAGCAGGTGCAACAAGTGCATGCTTTGATGTTCTCTGTGTGGGTGTTAGGTATATCCTGGGCAACTGGCCTAGCAAGGTATGTAGCCACCTTCCTGAGTCTAGGGTGGGCCCTTCCAAAGTTAGGCAAGCACTGTGACAAGTGCCTGGTAGGTAGCATGAAGGCCAGAGGGAAACCCACACAAGAACTTCTAGCTAGTCCAGACTGGGCAGATGGACAGTTTGTGCTGGCTCCCTGTTCTGTATGTATTCATGAGGCCAGAGAGCAATGTAACCAGTCAGTAACTACACATGGAAGTGCCTTGTCTGTCTGGGGGAGTCCTAACCTGGGATGTTGTAGCCGAAGCCCTGACCTACTTGACCTAGCTTTCCTGCCACAGTCCTCCATGTACAGCCCAGGATGGATGTTTGTGAGATAGACTCAGCCTTGACCTTTTCCTTTGGGTGTCAGCCAGGGTCAGCCTCATAGCACTGCATCTGACAAAGATACTGCTCCTTCTTCCACCCTTCACAAGCTTTTGAGTTCAGAGATCAGTTAAGTGGACCTCTGTCATAGAACATAATGAACCCAGCTATATCTGATGTGAACTCAGACACTTTCTGTAACTACAATCCTGTGTCACAGTTCCACTGTTCTCCTACATGTTTTCCACCTCCCTACCTGCCTCTTTGCTTCCTCTTGGCCTGACTGGAACAAAACTCATCTTCGGGGTTTCTGTTCTCCCTCTGACAGGGATTCTTATCTTTTCCTGCTCTGCCCCAGAGGATGGTTACTATGTTATGCTTTTGCCTTTACCTCTGAACATGGGAGACTGGATATCTGGTTGAGAAAGAGCTTAGAAAACATTTGTTCCATCTTTGCCCAAGAACCCTTCTGAGGTTGTTTGGTGTCTGGGGGCTGCCACACACATAGCCTGGGGTCCCCTGGCACTGACAGTGATGGTGCTTCTTCTCCCTCCTCACACTTCTCTTTCTTACTTTTATGTGCATGAGTGTTTTGCCCACATGAATGTATGTACTGGGCACTGCAGAGGTCAGAATAAGGCTTTGAGTCCTCTGAAACAGGAGTTATGGATGGTTATGAGCCAAGCAGATGCTGTTAACTGCTAAGGCAACTCTCCAACCCCTAATTAGTTCTTTGAGACAGGAAAGAAGAGCCTTGGGAAAGGGTATGCTTAGGTATCCAAGGAAGGACTGTAAGCATGTGTGTGTGTGTGTGTGTGTGTGTGTGTGTTGATAGTTTGTGATTTTGAGTTGCTTTTTAAATCTAAGCAGTGTTCATTTTTGGGAGATTGCTGGGCCTCACTTGAGTCATGGATATGGCTAATCTAGAACTTCAACTCCAGCCTGAGCGGAAGGTCCTTGTTCTTGCTTCCACAAGGAGCCCATGCTTGACGATGGAAGTTCAAGAAGCTGGGTCAAGCCCCAGAGTGCCACTAGGCTTGATGGAACCTTACCTGCATCTAAAACACCATGGAAGACTCAAGAGAAGAGTCTCCAGGTGGCTGAGCAGCACGTTGGTATTTGTGCATTTGGGTACCAGTGGCTTCTGTCAAGAGTCTGTGAGCCCACAATGCCCTGAGCAGGAGGGTAGACTGTTCATATGGGTCTCGGTACAATCTATAACATTTTGGGCCCCCTATGTTTGTAACTACTATGTTCTAGGCTTGAAAGAGGCTGACTGACCACAGGGAACTTGTAACCTATAAGTTGTGGAGGACCCACAGCTCATGGCTGGGGGGGGGGCTTCTCTATAAAGCATAAATGTTCCATCTTGCCCTTTTCACCCAACGAAGAGCCCACTCTAAAAAGAACATTCCTGCCCTAGGTATGTGTGCACAGTTTGAACACATGTGAGCTGCCTGTAGGCCAGTAGATGAAAGGGTTAAGTGTTGGCCTGGAATTATAGGAGCAAATAACTACTTCTGGACAATTTAGAAGAGCCCGGGGCCTCAGCCCCATTGGGGATGGAGCTCTACCAGCTTTGACATGGATAATTGCAGGTGTAGCATTTGTTGTGGGGGTTCTATAATCTTGAGTGTCAAGCTTTGCCTCTCCTACCTCAACTCATCCTGTGCCTGGAAAGAAACTGGGACCAATAGAGAGAAGATGATAACTCCAAGGTCATGCTATTGGTGACCTATAGCCTGAGGGCAGAGCTCAACCTTGTGAATTTAACTGGTTGATGGTGGGATGGCAGCCTGGTCTGGCCATTGCAGAAGCAGTTTCTGGAGGTGCCTAGGCACTGGAGCTGGCACTATGGAGTCATCTGTGGTCAAGCTTCTTAACAGGCAGCGGGTACAAGTTAGGGGATAGGCACATTCTGTCCAGCTAAGGCTAAATATGGCTACCCTGGACCTACATTAGAAGTTAGCTCTTGCTCAGAAAGTTATAGGAGGGTGTTAGACTTATGCATTGTTTATGTAGAGCTTACCTGGAAACTATCCCTTGAATAGTGAGGGGCTGCAAGAGGATGTTCCTTGACTCTTGGCTGGGCCAATATGCCATAAAACATCCTGGGGCTTGTTCTGCCACTCAGCTTAACTGTAGGGGCTCTGATACCTCACTTTTCCCAGACCTTGCAGACTTTCCCAGAGGGACCCAGAGGAAAGCAGGGTAAGGCACCGCTTCCCTGTGATGTGGAGTTGATTTGAGTTTGGAATTCCCACGAGAATAGGACCTGAGGCCAGACCTAGCCCAGGCTTAGGTGGCTTCCATGGTTGGGAACAGGAGTGATATTGAGAAGTAGTGATAGGATTCCCATTAGGAGGGTCCAGGACTCCTTTCCAAGTCTGCCTCAGCTGAGGTTTTGGACCAAGTATCCACAGCCTGGCTTAGAAACCATGAGGGGATCAGGCCACAACCAGGAAAATACTGTTGCCATCTGTGCAGGCTAGTAAACCCTAAAAGTGACTGCAGACCTCAGCCCAGAGCTTCATCTAGGTCTCAGGCAGCTTCTTCCCAGAAAGTGATGCAAACTATGCATATGGAATGGTGGGGCTGCGAGGTCCTTGAATATTTTAGTGCCAGTGTCTTGCTAGGTGAGCTTCTTTTATTTTTCTTTAAGACAGGGTCTTATGTAGCTCAGGCTGGCCCAGAAATCACTTGTATTCCAGTCATGACCTCAAACATTCCTCCCTCTGCCTCCTGAGTTCTGAGCTTACACCACTCCCAGTTCTAGGTAGAGTTCTTAGAGGATGCTATATGGTTACGCCCTGCTTCTATGAGGCATCCTGAGATTGCTTCTCTGAAACACATAAACATTCAATTTTGTGTTGTATTTCCTCCTGCCTTCCGGAAGGAAGTCCCCAGGCAGATAGGGTATAGAAGGTCTGTGACTTGGACCTTGGGTCAGCACCTGCCGTATCTATACCCAGGTCCATTCCTGAGCCCATTCCCATTGACTTCTAGGGATGGACACAGCAGATGGGTTGTTCCACCTCCGCTTCAGGTAGCCCACGTTCTGGCTGGCCCCTGCTATGTCCTCTTCATCCAGGCTCAGCTTAGCCAGGCTACTCTCCTCATAGTGCATGTTTTAATATTTCAACCAAACTTAGGCTTGGTTGTAGATAATCCTGTGGTTTCCCTGTGGGCATGGATTCTTCATCAGGTTTCTATCACCATCATTCTTCAGCATGTAAATTCCATCAGAGAGCCTGCTAAAGCAATAAGGTGGCAGCTAACATTTATTAAGCATGGCAGTTATGCAAATGTAGCCTCCTGGCATGGCCAGGCAGTGGCTACATATGTCTCCCTAATGCACACTACATTATACAGAGCAGCCTCAGCATGAGAGGACTGATAAATTGCGCTTTCTTGTGCGTGCTCTCTCTATTATCATCATCATCATCATCATTATCATCATCATCATCTCAAAACAGGGTTTCTCTGTGTAGACCTGGCTGTCCTGGAACTCCCTCTGTAGACCACAGAGATCTGCCTACCTCTGCCTCCCAAGTGCTAAGATTAAAGGTGTGCACCACCACACCTGGCTGTTGGTCTCCCCTATCTCCCCTTTAATGCTGACTAGTCCCTCTCAGTATGAGAGGGCTCTCTTATAGTGGAAGCCCAGTATAGGGCTCTCAGCTCATTTGGTATCTTTTGTGGCACCAAATGGTACTCAGTGTATATTGACTTGGTAAGAGACCCAGGTTCTAACAGTCTTTGTCTGTGTAACCAAGGACCTCCAGCTGGTAGGTCTACTCCTATACTCCCACTGATCCCATTTATCTCAGGCCAAGTCAGTACCAGGTCCCACCTACCTTCAACTTGAGCCAATTTAGCCTCATGCCTGCTTTGAGCCATTGGCCCTGGAGCAACCCCAGTAGGTAGCTGCCCTCCCTGGGTGCTAGCAACTGCTGGTTCTAACCTGTGTTATCAGCAAGGGCTGGTATGGAGGGGCCAGGGTTGATCTCAGCCTGAGCCACTTCCAGTCCCTACATGAACAGCCTTTCAAAAGCCAAGGAATAAATGCCTGCCTCAGCAGCAACCATGACCCCATGAGCAGCTTGCTGGGTACCCCTGCCTGGCCAAGCGAAAAAATAGATTCTATGATGGGACAAGTGGAAAAGTCAGGTTTCAAGCCCAGATGTGGTGAAGTCAGTTGCCACCCAGGCCTGCTTTAGATGTAGCCAGGACCCCCATGACCTGATAAGACCCGAGCTAGCTCTGTCCTGGAATGGCACCCCCAACCCCAAGCTGCTCTCAGTGTTTGCTAGGTACCAGCAAGACTTGAGAACTAGTAGGTACTCCTCTACTCACCTAAAATCCCCCAGGACAACTGGTCTGGTTGAAGCCATCAAGTGTGAATAGGCACGCGTACATGCAAGCTTCCTACAGGTCTGTGAGCTTCACCTCCCTTTCCTTCTTCGCAGTGTACTAACGGTCACTTGATGTGCGCTGGCTGTTTTATCCACCTACTAGCAGATGCCCGGCTGAAGGAGGAGCAGGCCACATGTCCCAACTGTCGTTGTGAGATCAGTAAGAGCCTCTGCTGCCGGAACCTGGCCGTGGAGAAAGCTGTGAGCGAGCTGCCTTCAGAGTGTGGCTTCTGTCTTCGTCAGTTCCCTCGCTCCCTCCTAGAAAGGCACCAGAAAGAAGAATGCCAGGACAGGTAACCATGTGAAGGTGTGGCCTTGTCATCTGGTCAGACCTTGTTGGCTGGGCCCTTGGGACCACATATGCAGCCCAGTGATAACCCTAAAGGCCCAGGTGTAAGAGCATGCCTTTCCACAGAAGACAGTTAGGGGTCTATATTAGTTGCTCTCTGAAAATGATGGTCGCCCTCTAGAATTCTCTGGGGCTATTTGGTAGGTCCTTAGAAAGTCCAGTACAGCAGGTTCAGTTTGAAAGCTCTGGAAAGCTTGAGTGAAACTCTCTTGTTTGGCAACCCAGTCCCAGCACATAGAAACAGCCACTTGCCTGGTAAGGTCATGGCACCAAGAGCTTTCATAGAATGAGGATATGTGGGGTCTAGTATCATGGTCAGCAGCCTCTTAACCTCTAGACAGAGACATCAGTACTGTGTACAGGAGGCATGTTGTCTAACAGCTGTAGTGTTTCTCTGTCCTTCAGTCTCCCTACATCCTTCACATATGTGCCTACAAGTACTCTAAGTGGCTGAGCTCACAGTTCATTGTGTCCTACAGGAACGGGTTTGTGGTTGGGCAGAAGTAGCCTCTGAAAGACTACGGGGGGCATGGCCATTTGCCCCAGCTGCAGGGTTGATCACTATTCTCAACTCCTTCTAGGGTGACACAGTGCAAGTACAAGCGTATTGGCTGCCCGTGGCATGGCCCTTTCCATGAGCTGACAGTGCATGAAGCTGCATGTGCTCACCCAACCAAGACAGGCAATGAGCTGATGGAGATCCTAGATGAGATGGATCAGAGCCACAGAAAGGAGATGCAGCTCTACAATAGCATCTTCAGCTTGCTCAGCTTTGAGAAAATCGGCTACACAGGTGAGCCACCCCACATTCCCCTGCATGCCACACAGGTACTGTTTGGGGCTAGAGGGCTGGCAGCCAAGAGCCGGGGAGGCAGTAGGTTATGGACAGTGGGCACAGGCTGCGCCGATAGCCAGGCTCTGGACATACTCCAGATGGACAGGAGGATGGCTTGGGGAAGAAGATAGGTTGGAGATTGAGCAGGAGGGATGCACCTGCATGGCTCTTACAAAGGTCCTGTCCTCCCTGTCTCTGCCCACCACCCCAGCAAGATGACCCTCCTTACTGTATGGGGCTCCACAGATTTGGGGTGTTGTATCTAACTAGAAAATTGGGTATGTTTTGGGCAGTCTGGGAGCTTGGGGCCTTACTTTTGGAGCACAGAGCAAGAAGAACATTCCATCAAGTCAGGTCCTGTCTGCAGATGTTCACTGAAGGCCACAAGGCCTCCTGAGGCTGGCAAGAAGCTTGAACAGGGCTCCAGAACAAGCTGAGGGTCTCAGCTCAAACTATAGAACTGGGAATGGATGCCCACAAATGAGTAGGCTGGACCAGGCCTATGCTCACTGGATCTCATGGCTCCCAGGCATCTGCCACCACCTTTGAACATGTCGGGGAGCAGGAGCCAGGCCACAACTTGAGCCAGAGAACAAGAAGCACCTGCTGATACTGGCTGGGGTCACTCAGGGAAATTTCATTCCCTCTACTGCTCAACCTGCAGCAGGTGGCCAGCTCAAAGCACCCAGGGAAGTCTTGAACAGTCAGTCATGCCATGCTGCCTAGACTAGCCCAAACAGGCCTGAGATGCAAAGGGCCCAGGGGCCTGCATCAGCAGAAAACACTGGGTCTTGGTTAAGAGTCACCTTGGCTGATCTCATGGCCTGTGGGGTCTGGGTGGGCCAGGCCATGTGGCTACAGCAGAGGCTGGGTGGGAAGCCCTGTCCACAAAAGAAGGACTGGCTACCTAAGAGCCCACACATCCCCAGCAGGATGTGCCAGCCACAGGACTGCAAAGGCAGGTCTACCTGCTAAGCAACAGCCCCACAGACAGCTGGGCAGAATTCACATCACAGTGCAACATCACGGACTTGGCACTCCCCTTGGGCAGGACCAGAGATCATATACCTACCTGCTGGCTTTTCTGGCAGCTTTGTATCGGAACCAATAAAGTGCACTTGTTCTCAGAACTATCCTGTCTGTGTGTCTGCTTACCCCGCCCCTTCGGGGACAGGGGACTGGGGGTAAGGAGGGTGGCATTATGGGTTGGCCACACCTGGGCCATGTGGCCTATTGTCCCACAGCCTCAGGACTCTCCAGCTAATTGGTGTTAATTCTGTTTGTAGTTGTTCCCCCAAAGTTTGCGCACTTCCATTTGCCATAATTGACTTACCTTGTGACAAGTAGAACGCACTATCTGGGTAAGTTGCCTTCCTCCCTGGCTAAGCCTGTCCTTGGCCTGTTGGGGAAGGCGCCACCCCCTGGCCCTCCCCAGCACTAACAGTTGGCTGTCTGGCCCTGTCTGTCTCCACAGAGGTTCAATTCCGGCCTTATCGCACTGATGACTTCATCACACGCCTGTACTATGAAACACCACGGTTCACAGTACTGAACCAGACATGGGTCCTGAAGGCTCGTGTGAATGACTCGGAGCGCAACCCCAACCTGTCGTGCAAGCGCACACTTTCCTTCCAGCTACTTCTCAAGAGCAAGGTCACAGCGCCCCTGGAGTGCTCTTTTCTTCTGCTCAAGGGCCCATATGATGATGTGAGGATCAGCCCTGTCATCTACCACTTTGTCTTCACCAATGAGAGCAATGAGACAGATTATGTGCCGCTGCCCATCATCGACTCTGTGGAGTGCAACAAGCTGCTGGCTGCCAAGAACATTAACCTGCGGCTCTTCCTGTTCCAAATACAGAAGTAGGACAGGCCCAGAACACCTGAGGAGCAGAGGGCCGCCGTCCAGTAGTGCTGTCCCACCCCTCCCTGGCTTGGCAGCAGCTTTACACAACTATCTGATCATTTTAGCAAAGGAGGCGAACAAACAAAATCAAACCCTAAGAAAGTCTGCATGCGTGTGCAACAGGGATCCCTGCCTCTGGCTCACCTTCCTCCCCTTTGCCTCCCACCTCCTGCAGGCAGCCAGAGGCTGGGCTGACCACAGTGGAAACAGTACTCTGGGCTCCTCAGGTACAGGTGGTGAAAAGGAAAGAAGCCAACCACCCTTACCCCAGTTCCCATCCTCAAATCGAGGTGCCACGGTGGTTCCCTGGCCAGGCTGGGAGGCCCTGGCTAACTTCAGACAGCATATTTGATTGCAATTAAAAAGGCAGCCTTGTTTCCTACTTTCTGTTTTGTTGGAGGGGAAGGTGTGGCTATGAATGGACTTCATGGGAGATTTGGTTTGGCCTAGTGGTCAGAACCTGTCCTGTCCCTGATACTGCACCTATATGTGTACCCCAGGAGAGACTTAAGAGACACTGCCTCCCCCACAGTCTTAACAGATATTGGGACTAAAGCCTGGCTGGTGAGCCACAGAGGGTTGCGTGTGTCTACCCCCCCCCAACTGCACCTCCCTCAACCCCCACCCCCATTGACCACTCAGAAGCAGGACTTGGCTAGTAGGGCTCAGCAAATGTTTTCGGAATGCAGGGTGAAATTCTTTCTCTTCCAGAAAAAAATTAAACTCTACAGGCTCTTTAAGTGATGCGATTTTAGCTAGAAATAATCCATTCACTTAGCAGAGAGGGCCAGGTGTCCTCAGGGTGCCAAGGAGGCAGCCACTGCCTGTGAGACCTGCATTGATGGTAGTGGGGTATCACAGGACCAAGACAGAGCAGCATAATTTATTGCCTAAGCAAGGTAGGCCTTCCACTTGCTGGGCCATTTGCAGATGTTCTGAGTGGTGGTTGGAAGCAGGACAAGTATTAGGGACTCACAAAATATGAACCAGCCATGCTTGATGGGGCTAAGTCCCGGTCCTCTCTTCCTTGGGTTCCTCAGAGATACTGAGAATGGTAGGACTAGCCTTCTGCCATCTTTGCTTAGGAGATGAGGCTCTCTTATCATAGCTTTTTATTGCTTTAATACCAAAGAACCAGTTTCCTCTACCCTAACCAGTCCTCCACATGCCTCAAAGTAGTTCCTACCACCCCATGCAAACTGCCTGGGCCTAAACTGCCTTGTGCCTTCCAAGCTAAGGGACAGGGTGGTTCTGTAGGTACAGCACTGATGTTCCATCCACCCTGACCTTCAAGAGGGCAAAGGGCTGAGAAATGGAGAGAAGTAACTGATACACAGTGAGGCTTTATGTCTGAGCACAGCCAGTGTGGCCCTCCTGCTTTCTCAAAGGCTGAAAGTTTTTCAACACCTTGTTTGGCTCCCTGCATGGGACTTCTGCAGATGCAACCTGGCCGGGAGGGATGAAAAGGACCATATTTGGCTTCTGCCTACTACTAAGGACTCCATGCCAGATTCCAGCACATCCATGGGAGCAGTGGCCTTTGACTCAGATACAGCTCCTTGATTTCTTCTGCCTTTAGGGGTAGCCTCTCAAGCATACTCACCTGGCAGGCACAGGGGATCTTTGGAAAACAGAGGGGTCCCCCCTTTGGAAATCCCTCTAGATTCCAAGGTGGTGGTGTGAAAAGGCAGGGCAGAGCTGACTTGCCCTGATAATCTGTGTCTGGATGTGTGAAAGACTACTTACAGAAGGCAGCCTGAGAGGCTCCTAGGGGAGGAACAGGATAGGAGACTTCTTCCCTATGGGCACAAGCCAGCTGAGGACACTGGGCATGAGGAGTGAAGCTGGGCTGGCAGGGACTCAGAGGCAACAGAGCTTTAGGTGTTTGTGTGTGGAGCCGAGTGGCATACCCCAGTGTCCATGATAGGGTTGGGGCAGTGCCCAGGTAACCACATAGGAGTGTGATATTTGTAAGGGTACCCAGGAGAACTGCTAAGGCCTCTCCCAGTAAGAAGCTCTGTGTAGCTCTACACTATACTATGACTGTCACGTGCAGCAGTTGAGCCTTCCAGACTAGAGGAACCAGGCATAAAGAAGACTAGTGTGTCTCTTGGCTATGCTAGGGACTAGCGTACAAACCTTTCAGCATTGTCATTGTGGGCCCTTTATTTGGGGGGGGGAGGGTACCACATCTCCTGGCTTGTGTCCAGAATCTTGTTATCTTACTGTCCTAACCTGGCTCTTTATCTGTTGTCTCTGAGGATGAGAAGAGGGGTTCAGCCTCAGTAGGTGTTGCGGAGGCTGCCAGAGGGGGGTGCATAGGCCAATCTAGGCCTCCATGTCTCCTTCCACCTGTCTCATCCCCACTTCCTCTGAGCCCTACATCCCTCAGTTTGCCCAAAGTGAGACATTTACAAAACAATAAAAATAATTTTCTAAAGAGCAGAGCAAGAAGTGTTTTTATGGTTGTTAGAAATGACTCACATGTCAGCTTTGTGGTTTACATTTTCTTTGAGTATTTTTTGTATGTACTTGTAGTTAAAAAAAATATTCCAAACTATGTTTTGTCTGTGTTTCCTTACCAGAAGACAAGCTTAAGGTGGGGTTTCCTGTGCTCTGCTAGCCTCCCTTGCTGATCAACCTGTGCCCCGTCCCCAGGCCTCCAGTCCTGTGAAACAACTGGACAGAGAAGTTGGATCACCTCTAAAGGGAAACTGACTCCCCAAAATTGTCTCTGACTTACACACATACCATGGCATGTGTTCCCCCCAAAATAATAATAGTAATTGAAAAAAAGATGCTTGTAAAATAGTCTTCCAGGACAAGGCACAGTCAGAGAAAAATGCTTTCACACATTGCAGGGTGCAGTAAAGCAGCCAAACTCAACAGGTTTAGAAGGAAAGCAATTCATGGTCTTTCCAACAGCCAGGGGGGGCCTGTTCCATGTCTTAAGCTTGTTGATTCTATACCTTCTTTCCATTCCACCTTTCCTCTCTTACAGAGCCCCTCACACACCTCACCAGCGTGACTTCTACTAGTGGACTTGCTTTCAGAGGCATGCTTAGGATGGGAAAAGGATTGGCAGTGCAGGCCTCCATAGTTATTCTGACATCCTGAGACCCATTAAGACCTAGTCTAACATCCTGCATTTCATAGGAGGTCTACCTGTGTCTGATTTTCCTTTTCACCTTGTGCAACTCCATAAGAAAGATCTTACCACACCCTTGCAGTTTTCAGGTAGCAAGACCCAAACCTACCCAGCCCCAGCCTACAGCAGGAGCCTGTTAGGTAGGATCAGCTGTATCATGAGACCTCGAGACCCTTCTTCAGCCGTTCCGCCTTCCATATCACTCTCTTCCCAGCAGGTGTTAGCATCTACCATCTGTCCTCTACCTGGGTGTTCTTCTCCATGTTTTGGGGGTTTGGTTTGTTAGTTGGTTTTTTGTTTGTTTGGTTTTGTTTTTTGCGACAGGTGTCTCTACATAGCCCTGGCTGTCTTGGAACTTATTATGTAGACCAGGAGGGCCTTGAACTCACAGACATCCACCTGGCTTTGCCTCCCAAATTCTGGGATGAAAGGTGTGCTCCCAATATTTTAATTACACTAGAACATAAACTTGTCTGCCTACAAGTGTGGTGGACACATGCCTGTAATTCCAGCACTTGGGAAGTGAAATCAGATCAGGACCTCAAGGTCGTCCTCAGCCACATGTAAAGTCTGAGGACAGCCTGGGCTCCATAGGACCCTGTCTCAAAGCCTGAGGGTGGCATTAATCTCAGCTCTTGGGAGGCAGAGGCTGGTGGATCTCCAGGTTATTAGCCAGCCTGGTCTACAAAGTAAATTTCAGAATGCCGGGGCTACTCAGAGAAACTCTGTCTCCAACAGCCAAAAAGACCCTGACTCAAAAGAGAAAGACGGAGTCCTCTATGTCCCACTCCTATGGCTCTGTGGGGTCCTGCACTGTTGCCCCTGGGGCCCTTACTACGCAGTCTGGTAGTCTGGTAGATGCTGTGTGTTGACCTTGCTTAATTGCCAGAGGTGAGAGCACCAAGGCATGGCAAGTGTTTGGTCTTCAAGGTAATTGAGAACAGAGTGCCCCAAATCAAAGGAGTGCAAGGACAGTTCCAGGCTCTTTGCAGATGAGGAATCTGTATTGGTTTCAATTCTCCAGTCTAGACTGTAACTCGATTTTCTTTCAAAAAAAAAAAAAAAAAAAAAAAAGCTATGCAGTTTTCAAGTGTCTTTACTGCACCTTCTGGGAATACTGATGCCCACATAAAATAAACTTTGTTCTGTTTAGCTCAGGAAGCACATTCCTCCTCTTCTTCCATCCAGAAACCTACTGTGTGTCCTTTATGTTCCCCAGGGCATCTGCAAGTCCCATTAAGTCCTCATGCCCACTTTTTGTTTATTTGTATTACATTGCTTTTTTGTTTTGTTTTTTTGTTTTCATTTTTCAAGCCCTGGCTGTCCTGGAATTCACTCTTTAGACTTGGCCTCAAACTTAGAGATCCACCTGCCTCTGCCTCCCAGATGCTGGGATTAAAGGTGTTTGACACCGTTAGCCTGATTCTTTTTTCTCAATGATTTGTTTTTATTTAGTATGCATCAATGTTTTGCTTGCATGTATGTCTGTGTGAGGGTGTTGGATTCCCTGGAACTGGAGTTTCAGATACAGATAGCTGTGAGCTGCCATGTGGGTGCTGGGAATTGAACTGGGGTCCTTTGGGAACAAGCAGTGCTCTTAACCAGTGAACCATCTCTCCAGCCCCCCAACTTTTTAAAATTATTGTTTTCATTTTATGTACATTGGTGTTTTACTTAAATGTATATATTATGAGGGTGTCCCTGGAACTGGATTTACAGATATTTTGAGCTGCCATGTGAGTGCTGGAAATTGACTCTGGGTCCTCTGGAAGAGCAGCCAGTGCTCTTAACCACTGAGCCATCTCTCCAACCCCTTTTACCACCAGTTCTAGGTGAGGCCTTCTTTTGGCCTCCACAGGACTAGGCACACATACTGTGCACAGATACACATACAGGCAAAATACCCATACACATAAAATAATAATTTAAAATTTTAAAGGTAAAATTTACAAGCTAGGTGTGGTGGTGCAAGCCTTTGACTCCAGCCTGCAAGAGGCAGAGGCAGGGGGATCGCTGAGTTCAGCCAAGGCTACATAGTAAGCACCTATCCTTAAAAAAGGGGTTTTTTTGTTTGTTTGTTTGTTTTTTTTTTTTTTACAAATATAAAAAGGTGATATGTGCTTTCATTTCTAGAAGAAGAGGGGGTAGTGTTACAGAACACCTGTAATAAAAAGGCAGGTTGGAGGGCTAGTAAGCTGGCTTTGCAGTTTAAGAGTATGTATATCTCTGCAAAA